TCAGACACCTTTTGGATGATTAAAAATGCACCGGGTAAAATTGACCCAGGAACACCATTGCTGTTCCTGAAAAATGAACATAATAGGACAGTTAAAGAGAGATATGAAAGATCTCACATGAACTGACATTTAGCCACAAAACAGCATTAAAAAAGTGTGAGTATCATCACTGAGCACGATAACAACTGAACACATGGTGCGTTTGGATACATGTGGGTGCACAGAAAAGCAGCATTTTTACTTGTCAAAGTATATTTGCTTTAGGGGACAGACAGCAGGGCAGGATGCCTTGCAATGAATCTTCATTTGCTTGTTATTGGGTTTACTGCACATCACAACAAGCAGGTTTTTGCAAATTAAGTTTTGATGTTCCCATTTGCTAAATGAGGCAAAATAAAAGAATGAAATTTGATGTTGATGATCAGATTTCTATCATTCACAAGTTTAATCAAAATATGGTTGTTTTGAGGCATATACAGTATACTGAAAAAGGATCCCCACTTTGCATACTCTGGTTTCTCCTGTCATACACAGTGCTGTATTCTTGGTGCGTGTTTAGAGACGCCCCCTTAGCTGGGAAAACCATTTTCATAGAAGGCTGGCACTTGTTTATCTTTAAAACATATTATCATAATTTATTAGTGCTTCTAGTGACTGCAGTTTATGGTGGGATTGTAATGTGTGTTGGTAACGTCACACGTTGCCAAACCTACCGGCATATTTCCGTTTGAAAAGCAAATATGACTGCCCTGAGACACACAGGAGAAGAGGTGCAGTTTTGTAAAAGCTCTTCATGCACAGTCGAGAGCTATATGCCTTTTGTGCATGTACAGTTTGATCCACTTCTAGGTGGTATCTTTCGCAGGGTTTGTTCCCTGCCTTGCCTCTGCTGTTCAAAAGCTAAGCCCTCCATGCTCATAGCTTACGTGCAGAACCTATTAATTATATGTGAGCAAAAAAACATGCCGGGCGTTTTTCAGACATTTGTATTGTATTTTGTATGCACACTTTTAAAAAACGCGGTATTTGACAAAATTATGTAGACACCTTTAAATGCAGTACTGTGCACAAATGTCATTATTGGAAATTACGTAAAATTATGTACAACTCCCAAAAGCCATTGGCATTATTAGCATTCATTCTGGAAAGATGCTGAACAATAAAGCAAATGCCAGCTACATGCCAATAAAACACGTCTAACTAAGAAGTATACGGATTTCTGAGCTTTCTGTATTTTGGATATGACAAATAGAAATGGAATTTTAGCAAGGAAATTAAAAAGGGAATTTTACAAATGTCATCTGTGAGGAGTTCAAGAGAAGTCAAAAAATGCAAGTAAATGTTAAGCCATCACCCTGGAGCAAGAGATTTCCACCAGGGTGCTTGTTCATCATGTGTCAGCAGCCTCTCCGCTTTCTATAAATGAAGTTATTACCACAATTCCTCTTTGTGTATAAGGCACTTACAATCCACAATTATCTGCTGTACCTAAGATAGCTATTTCCCAAATTTTTCTTGCAACTTCTTAAATGTATATCCCTTGCTCTCAGGTTGGGGTTCCTTACTGAGGTTGTTTGGTATGATATGGAACCTTACTCATAAAATTGGAGTGTACCCTTTAAATCTGGTTGTGGTCCAAACCCTTGGTGCTCTGCTTCTTGTATTTTGCTCTCCTAAGCCACTTGCATGGCACCTTACCTCATGGGTGTGGAATTGCTCCTTAACCACTTCCACTTGGTTGGAGATGGGGGACTGAGATTGCAGACTGTCTTCGGCAGAAAGCAGCCAGGTGAGAACTTCCTCCAGAGCAGTCTGGTACCTTTCTAGCTGCAGGTCCCGATGGGGGTTGGGACTACTGCTTGCCTCCTCCCCTTGGCTGTCTGGAGACTGAGGAAGGGGTTCCAGTGACTCATCGACATCCGCAGTACCTAAAAGCCTGTATTCGCTATAGCCTTCTATTAACAGACACACGTCATATTGTATTTATCATCTTGCTCAAATGCCATCATGGCATACAACATCAAAGACATGCACCTGTGAAGTAAAGCGTCGCCTCTTTTGTTCAGGTGACTTGACATAAGCTGCTTGAGTGTAGGCGTAACTTTTGTAGCGTGGTTTAGCAGTAGGGGAGGGGCTACGAACCCAACCCTGAGCCACATTCACTGTAATCTGGGAAAATGGGACAGGAGAGAAAGCTCAAAGACAAAGGAAAAATGACCCATATGTACAAAATCAGAGACATAGGGTGCACCTGAAATCACATTACTTGTTTGCTATGTAGTAGGTGAAATATAGTATGTGTAGTGAGCAATATGTCCGAATTCTCAATATGGATGAGGAAGTAGGCAAATGGTACCCGGATGACATATTACATTCTGCGAAATTCCAAAGTCTGCAAGATAGACGCTACACTATCCCACAAGAACACTGGAGCTGCAATCAGAGACGAAGAATGTCACTTGCCCAGAAATTTTTGTCAAGATGGTGGAGGGATTGCCGACTGTACAAATATAACTAGAAAACAATGCATAATATTTATTTTTTTTTGTTGATTTTTAACAGTTGTTACTTTTCACAGGGGTCAAGCTACATCATTGGTACCCATCTGGGTAAGGGAATGTGCGAAATGGTGACCACAGTATATCCAAGTGCATACAGTACGCACTACATTAACGGTCAAGTAGTAGGCTTCTAGCAATATTCAATACACACTGCATAAGTATGCAATTTTGGATACACCCATATATGTGCCAGAAAATCCTAATCTAAGAGCTGCTTCTTTTATTTATCAAGTTACATTGGGTTTGTATGCTTGGCCATGTATCATTACCATTTACAGTCCTCTATACATATGCCATCAATCCACATACCTACCATCATCCATCTTAGAACCAAAGGTGTAACATTATTCAGTGTATAGTTTCAGCTGTATAAACTATCCGCCAACATCCATCTTACAATCAAAGAGTCCATAATATCATCCACAATCTACCAACTGCCTGTATTTAGTTCAGAAACAAATCTGTAACACTGTGTAGCTTATAAAATATTAACCCTAACCACTCTTTATCCTCTTCGGGAGAAACAAAATTCAGAATGCCAATCTATACTGTACAAGCACTAAAAATCACACAACGGACTACAGTCTTCGTGTACTTATTTGAATAGCTTTTCTGATTTTAGGTTCTATTGTGTTCTGCATGTCTTGTTCCCATAATCTTACTGCACGTGTTACTGGTCACTCAGTGGAAATTTAGCCTAGCAGCTCTTGTACCTAAGTTGGGTTCTTGACAGCTACATGCTTGCGAGGTATGTCTTGTACGTCACCTTGGACAAAACGGTCCACTAATAAATAAGAAATGAGTGAAGTTATTCTACCAATAGTGTAACATCAGACAGCCTACTATGTACATTGGAAAAAGTAAAATCCATTTCCTTTATATAGGAACAGAAAGGCAGCAGCATTTCAAGCAAATGATTTTGTTCAAAACTCTTTTATCTTCATAAAAATGCCATTAATCAGAACTAGACATTTGCAGAATGCCTTTGCAGAATCCTATAGCTCTCACACAGCATGTTTTACTGTCTGCTTGTTGTGACTGGAAGTTCCTGAGTAGCACATCTGATATGGTCTCGCCACAAGCATGGGAGCATTTAAACTGGCCAGAGTCTCTCCATCATGCCTCTCAGCTGGACCTCCCAAAGATACTGACACGGGCCTCCCCTAGGTAGCCCTACCTTTCCTGCAACATCCCATGTGTTCTGACGTGTCAAAGGAGGATAGCTGACAAATTTCTAGGACCATCCTGTGAAGGTACTCCTCCTAAGCAACATGCTGAGCCAAGCCTTCTGCCATTGCGACTGGGAACTCAAGAGGCATGTAGCATAAATAACATAATCAGGTCGTGTGTGGGAGTGTTCAAGTGAGTGAGGGTATCTGAACTGAGACCAGCGTTAAGCACCTCCTAGGGACATGTCAGGCTATGCATTGCTGATTGCTTGCGGTGAGATAAATTTATGTAGTTTGCAGTGAGACAAACAGCCACTGGCTGACAGACTTGCTTATTGACCTGAGAGCAAAAACTCTGCCCTTGAGGGAGCTGAAGGCAGCAATTTGGATGGCTGAGTTTATGAGATAATTAACAATGACTAAATTTGGGTAACAAATGGAGAAGGCAGAGAAAAAATCAGTAATTATGCTAAATAACAAAAAAAAAACAGAGAGATACTGTATGAGGCAGGAGAAAGACTATGGCGATGCCTGAAGAGGTATTAGACACATGCATTGCAAATCCCTAAGAAGAACATGGCAGGAGTTCCACAGTAACATAGCGGAGAATGCAGTGCAACCGCAAAAGGTTCTAAAGGTTTTTGGAATGTTGTATAGGAGACTATTAGACTATTAGGTAGAGATTATGCAACATGTCACTAATGTCTGCCTGGACTGACCTGCTGGGAAAAGCGCTGCTTGCTCTGAACATGGTCTTCCAGAGCCATTGGGGCTGGTGGAAGCCTCTCCACCTCCCGGAGAGCCTCCATGGTGACACCATGTGGCAGCACTTGGAACAGCGAGGTGACATACATCAGAATGGACTTCTTGTCAGGATGTGTTGTGGCCACATCTGAAACAGAAGACAAAGAGCTGTATTTATTTTTTATATATTTTAGAAAGTACACAAAATCAGTCTCTTTACAAAGATGGAGAACTATGTTAAATTTGCATAATTTTCTTGATCTATACAACATATTACTTTTGTCATTCCAATAAGGCACACAAACTGTAAACACTGCATGGTTTGTGGAAAAGGAGAAGAGAGCCAGAGAGAATCAGCATGATGGTCATGTTGCTCTGTGTGCTATTTTTAACTCCCTTTTATTGCTCCTTTCTGGTGCATCAAGAACTGTAATAACCCATGGAGACAGGAAGCATTTTATTCATCATTAGTTCTGATGAGAGTTGATACACTTATGCATGTCTTCCCCTTCCTCACATACAAATGCAATGACTCGCAAATGCACATATGAAGAGATGCACGCACTTCCCCAATTTGCACTGATATGTATCTCTTATTTTTTTCCCCAAAACCTCATGCGTGCACACACAGGTATATTGCATCTCTGTTTATATCTCTATTCCTTTCTCCAACACAAACATTCATCCCATTTACACAGCTGAGCAGACAGAACCACAGTACCTCCTCTCTTGTTATGGGAGCATCTTAGTCATCCACAGTAAGAACTGGAACTTATAGTGTACTGTGAAAAATGATTTTACCTATAGGATATAAACAGACCTGGAGCACCATGCTTCTAAAAGTTACAAGTAAGAAAGTCATAGTACCAGCTCTTCTACTACATAACGGCTCAGCAGTTGCTTTCCTAAAGTAACTCCTCTGGGTATAAATCACTCCTATACTTACATGCAAACTAGTTACTTGCTTTGTGGCTAATAGAGCAAATAATTGTCTTTTTTGTTCCTGCTACAGACTCCTTCCCGTTTCACCATATTACAATGTCTTTCCAGCCAAGTCAACATTTGAATCTCTTCCCATGACATTCCTAGCTTCCTTCCTACATCCTTGAACACACTATACTTTATCCCTGCTGTTAGCCAACAACTGCTTAGCATGTTATAGTTTTCTCCCCACAGGCTGTCTCAGGACGAACTTTCAGTCCCAAACTTATGAACTCAACACTTTCCGTATAAATCTCTCACTTCATGGTCATCATCACTATTTAATCCAAATGTGTATGTATCCATTACACCCTAATTCAAAATCAATTACTAAATCAATTATTACTGCATATTACATCAAATCTTTAACTACACTCTTTCTATAGCCTAATAATATCACATACTATGGCCCAACTTCAATGTCACTACCAATAACATATCCTTCATCCAGCTCTTTCCATACAGCTCCTGACGTAAAAGGGTACAAGAATAATGGGTGGCAGGAAGGTAAATGGAGGGCAGATTAATGGATGCAGGAAGGTAAATGGAGGGCAGAGTAATGGGTGCAGGAAGGTAAATGGAGGACAGAGTAATGGATGCAGGAAGGTAAATGGAGAGCAGAGTAATGGACAGCAGGTGGGCTAAATGAGGAGCGTTGTACTTGGCAGTATCTGACTCTAGTGAATGCCTCTCCTATTTTGCAGTATAAGCCTTGACACAAGACTATGAAATAAATAATGCACACTGCCTCCAGCTTTCGTTTGCAGCTGTGCCTCCACTTATTCAGCCTCTCTTCCAGAGTAACACCATTCATCATTCCATTACTTTTCACTGGGATTGTGCTGTGCCTTGCTGGTGGATGTTGACCACTATCAGTGAAGCAGTGGTTTGTCCCTGTGACCAGGAGAAGCTGTAATTGCCATCTTTCTTGGTGGTGCACTGTCATGTGTTGAATTTCCAAGTAACCAAAATAAATCTCAGGTATGTGTTTACATGTTGGAGACTTGTGGGAACATCATCTACTGGTTGTGTACGGAAATTTGCAGATGATGGTTGTTTTAAATGTTATAACACTGATGAAACCAAGAAATATTAAGATGAATGGGAAATTAAGAGCATTCCCCAAATAAGACTTATTTTAGTATGTGAGAAGGAAGGCGGTGTATCCATGGCATATCCAAGGCTTTCTTGACACATTAAGATGAATGATTTCTAGATTAGTGGTTGGAGAATAGAGGGATGAGCCAATATATAACTCACTGGCAGGTCTTAAGTTAAAATTCTTTAGTCTAAATCCTACCAAACCTTTAAGAAGAAAGAGTATTTAATCTAGACTAAAAACTGAACTGATTCATGGACAGAGTGCGATCTTGAAGTAGGTTATTCCTCTATTATAAAGCTTTTAAACATGTATTTGTGAAAAGATTAACTTTAAATTGCTGTTGTAGGTAACAAAAGCCTAACCATACATAACAATAAAATCCTGGAAAATTGTTTTGGATAAGGTGCTTCTTCAGACAACGACACATCCTATTATACTAAGCAGCTTCCATTAAGTGGTACTATAGCAGAAACCTATAATACCCTGTATGTTATTGGTAACGTGGAAGGAGCTGACAGTGGTATCGAGGGTTAATGTGTGGCTAAGGGTTAATTAGTGGAGAATGAATTGGCAAATGGAAACAGTTTTATTTTTGACTATTAACACATAAATAGCAATTCAGCCATTCTGATTCTTCCATGACTTTCGACAGATGGGATTCTGTGTTGAGTGCTGACCTTCATGCATAGAGCGAAGGATTCTGAGAGTCAGATATTAGTGGTTAAGTGAGAGCTGCATCACCGTAATCAATCAGCCAGAGGGAGATCAGATCCATGGTATGTCCTTTAAACTCTAAAACAACCTAACTCAAAGTCTAAAATGCAACAATCTCTCAATCTAATCTCAGACCACCACTAATCATCCACTGTCTCATCTGAAACTTTTTCCAGCAGCATGTCTGGTCCTAGTTCCTTCTCCATTGTCCTTAGTTTCTTCTTACCCTCAGGATCCAGCAGTTTTTCTATGCCCAGGTGGTCCTTGGCAGTACTGAAGGCATGGTCGAGCCTCTCGATGTCTGTCTGCTTCTGCTCCACACTGCTCCACTCAAACAGTTCTGGTCTGAGGATAACAGAATAGCTTTAATCTTATTACACTGGCCATTCAAGTGGTTTGCAATCTTGACACACCATCCATTAAAATGGACTTTAATCTCTTCTTACTTCACCACAAAATATGCACTAATCACTAATCTCCACTATAATATCTATATGGTTCATACTCTAATCTCAGCTGGCACTTAAAACATGTAAAATACACCACAGTGATATGTAGTAATGTATTAAGAAATAGCGTGGTGAATGGGAATATACAATAGTACATCCAAGTAGAGGGGATTATGTCATATAGAAGAGTGTTTTAATGAGTATAAAACTGGTGCAAGAAGTACTACACAGAGAGGAGTGAAGTGGCCCACTCAGAGCAAAGTAAAGGGAGACAGCAAGACAGGCATGAGTGGTAAATTATAAGACATCCTTAGTCAAAGAGCACTAGGGTGTTGGAATTGTAAAAGTAATACAGACGCTCCTCTACTTACAAACTTTCAACTTATGAACTTTCAGACATATGAACGAAGAGGACTTCCAAATTGTGTCTGTTGGGCTCCCGTTTCCTGTCCGCAACATCATACTAGTTCTTTGTGCTTGCGTATACCCTTAAAATGATGTTGAATAACGACATACGAACATTTCAAGTTACGAACGGCCGTTCGGAACGTAACTCGTTCGTAAGTAGAGGAGCGTCTGTACTGTCTTATGGCAGCGCCCTGTGAGCTCTAACCTGTGGCTGTGGATAAGGGCATTGAATGCCAGGCCATCAGACCAGCTGCTGGAGAAGTTGACCACATTGACTTGCAGATAATCCCGGGTAGACTGACGTACCCAACTCAACAGAATCTTTTCACTGTTAGTTTGTTGTAGGTCAGCCATTACATCTTTCATCACATCCTTTACCTAAAGAGATTAAAATAAGACATACACAAATGCAAACAGCGTGTAGATGATTGAGACTTTAAAAATGTACAAACATTATTCTCTACCCTTGTAAAAGTTATTTCACAATTTATACCTTTGTAGTGTGGAATGACGGCAACTTATGTATACAGCAGACTGTATACAAAACATGACGAAATTAAAAAGAGGACCTCCGTTTAAAAAAATGGGTTAAAGAATATGTTTGAACAAGCCTTTCAACTGCAGACAGGATGCTTGATTTACATAGCTTGATCTTTCAGACCTGGTACCCACATTCTTTATGGAAAATTACACAACATATTCTCAATTGAAGAGTAACAAACCTTAATCATAACTTTCTGATTCACATGTAAAAGACAAAATGGTTCAGCACCCAGCACACATAGTCAAAACTAGTTTCTTATTTTATTTTTTTCTACTGTGGATGTACAAAGAGCATATTACAATCTAAATTACTCAGTAGTACCTTGTTTTAAAAGAGACAGTAAGATGCCTTAATCTTTGTAGTGCAAGCTGAATATGTTCATAACACAATGTACCAAAGTAATGGTTCAAAGTCTGTCAAGTTAGAAAAAAACATCATTCTTTAAAATTGCATAATACAAAAAATTAGAACTGACTACTATTGAAGGCCAGTCATAAAATCAAATAACTAAGTGAACTTAGCACCTTTGAATCAATTCAAGGTTCTGGTCAAGCAACGTGCAGTGCAATATATGAGCTTTTAAAACATGAACCATGCTAAACCAAGAGGAGCTTGGAGCAATAGAAGGAGATAAAAGAGAAGTAAAACTAAAACTGAAAAACAGAAAGACTACTTGATCAGGATACCTGGATGTGACTGCAGTAAGGAGCTTAGTCATGTTTCCAGGAGATACCCAATCAAATAGATGTGGACGAATATGAACAGACATGTTAGTGATTTTTTACAAAGCACTGAATGTGGTTGCAGCTCAGGAGGCCCAGGGTTGGAGATGTGAAACTGCCACTGGCTGTGTGTGTGTTGAGGGTTTACATGTTCTCCTCAAAATCACTTAGGTCTCCTTAAGGTTCTATGTTCTGCCCGCAAAGTTTAGTAAATTGGTATTACAAAATTGCCCACTGTATGCAGTATTGTATACCCAACACTGATAATATCAACTGATTTATTTGGCACATTTTGTATGCTTATTAAAAAGAAGTCACAGTATTTATATATTAGTCTACGCACCATATGGCAATTTACTGGCTGCTTTGCTAATCTTCAGATTACAGCGGGGGACTTAACAGACAAGAACCTATTTCTGAATGCTGCACAGCAGTCAGCACACCATATACAAGAAACAACCAATACTTAAGACTCAACAAGATTCCACTCTTTCTACTAAACTTTCTCCCTCCCTTACAGTCATATCTTTCTTTAAACTGTAACTTAAAGATGGACAGCAGTGATTGCTAATTTGCTAGTAGTTTTCAGAGTACAAAAAATACCCAATTCAAAGGTAAATGATCTTTTGTATATAAAAATTATTTATACAATGCTCATTAAAATGTTTGCAGTTTATGTTGAAAGTCTACTCATCTACAAGTTAAAGGACATAAATATTTTGACATAAACTGTAAAAATCACAAGCACAAAAACATACAAAATCAAAATATCACTATATTTCACATATACATAAAGACAGTAAACTTGACTAATGTTGCCTAAAACTATAAAGGGACGACATGGAAAATAAAGGTTCTGTTAATGGTCACAATTTCATAAAAATCAAATAAATATTACTGGAAAAAAGTAATCTAACCAAAGTAAAAATATGATAGCAAGCTGAGTGATTTTAAATTACATCATGCCATATCCATATAAGATTATTTAATATAATAAATATTTTTGCTGGCATGATTGTATTGTATTGTTTTTTAACAGTAAATACTACTGAATAGAATATATTTTTATAAATACAGTCTCAACTGTATTTATAAGCTGTCAGGTGAATTCCAGTTTATCGCACATAGCCTATTTTACTGAAATTCAAGCACCTTACACTGTGTTTTTAATTAAGTTTGGCCAATTTCATGTTGAGTTCTGAGGGGATTACCATCTTAAAATTTATTATGCTTGCCAGAAAATATTGCACTGTGAAGTTCTGATTTGACTTTGTAAACAATAACTAGATAGATGCACTGCTTTGACATTAGATTATTTCTTTGTTACTCCTGAGACTGTAGAATAATCCTGTGCCACTGAGAGAATTTTTATGAGCTTCTAGGAGGTTTTTTTTTTTTTTGCAATTAATCTGGACACAAAAGAATGGTATAAAAACAAGCATTGCCCTAGGCTTTATTTCTAACAATTTTTAGAACAATTAATTAATCAATCAGTCATTTTTTGTTTAGTATTTTCTGACTTAAAGCATATTTAAAAATTAAAATCACTGCTTTCATCAGCAATCCAAATATGTCCGATTCATGTGAATTAGTGGGTTTGTTAAGTTTGTTTGTTACTCTCTATACTTCCTGGCATTGGCTCTGAATCACTTCAACCCTGGTTGGATAAGTAGTTATTAAAAATAGATAGAATGGATGGAATAGCTATTACTCTGCTCTATCTAATGGCAAATGTGGTGTCCCATGTGGCTCTGTTCTTATTAGTATGCTCTTTCCACAACATTTTCTACCCCTCAGACAAATCCATTTTCACCATCATACCAGTGATTCACAGATCTATTTGTCAATAATATGACACAAAACTTTAGTGATAGAAACCATTTTAAACTGACTTTAGAGGGCATCTGATTTCCGGTTGCATGGAAAACAGCAAAGTTTTGAATGATATACTGCATTTTGTAAAATAAAAATACCATTGCAAATACATGACTCATTGTGACTGGGCTCCAGCAATGCTTTACCATTAGACAGCTCACACTTTGCTCCAAACAGCATCCAAAATCTGCTGTTTCTTCTGCTAATAATCACCTGCCAATAAGCGCCATTATAACTCACATCAAAACAGGTGCAATTCTCCCTGATCTGTTCCCAATAATTTCCGGGATTTTCGATGAAATCCCACAAGTATTAAAATGAATGTACATTGCAGGCTTGTTTTGCCACACCAACAATTCACTGCAGGATCTCAATCACAGGTGAATTTTGTGAACTGGAAATTGTCAAGCTTACAGCAAATCCAGTGGCAAAGTCTTTCTTTTCTGGAACCACCTGCAACTTTCCTTAGAATAACTTTTTATCCTATCTGTACTAATTATATTGGGGTCCATGTGATTACATTACAGTATGCCACACAATATACAGTCAGCTTACATAAACATACATTGCCATAATTACTTATTTTATATTTGCTTCAACTAAAATATCCACCAAAAAATAAAAGCACAGAAAAGATTGCCATGTGTCCCTCTCCAGTTACTGCAAACAATTTTATTGACAGAACGTATCTGTAGTTAATCATACATAGAACAACCAGTATCTTCCCTTGAGATGTTATTAACTGACCTGCCAATGGAGGATGATGCTCCAGATGAGGCCCAGGGTCAGTTTGTGATTGCCATCGACGATGTCGACTCCACCTATATTCACTAATTCAACCTGGGTAGGAGTGAAGTAAATACAGTTCTGTTCAGTAGTTAGCTTTAATACCATGAAGAATGTGTATAGCATCATCTCATGTATTGCAGGACTAAATGCCAGGTTGTCATTACTAACCAAAAAACTGTACCACACTAATTGGATTAAGAGCCAGCATGCATTTGTGGTGGACAGTGGAGAATTCATTTCAATTACTATAAATGAATCTAAATTACTGCCATAAACTACCTTCCATGTTGATCATATTCCAAGTGAGACTGACTATTAACAGACCGATAAGAGAATGTGACTCACATTGTTTTTCTGTAGGATCTGGAGTGCTCGGTTGACATTGTTAAGCGAGTGAACACGAGTGAAGCCCTTTTCTTTGGCCTGCAAATAAAGAAGTTTCCTTTAGTGTCTTCTGCTGGAATTTTGTCAGAAAAGACGAGTTGGAGATGGGATACAGATGCTCAAAGCACAATTCCATGCATGTTAAACCAAAAAAGAAGAGCACATTCTAAGGTAAATGAAAGGCCAAATTATCATAGGAAGAGTTCGCTAATTTATCTGTACTATAGCTTAAATATGTCACATTTATTTACGAGATACAATATACAATGCTTATGAATAAGAAGATGAAAATAAGTAAAATACAATTCTTTATAACAGTAACATTGAATTCAGCAGCACTAATGTGTGCATGTCTCACCAGAGAGACATTTAAAATATTTATGAAATTTAACCATCACCTCAACCATGGGCATGAATGGGGGGGGGGTGTAACCAAGTAATCAAAAACCAGCTAATACAACCCACTGGACCACCTTAAATACGTGGAGACCTCAACCCCCTCAATGTACAACCCAAAGTTGTCCCCAACTAATTCTACCTGCAACATTATTCTATAAGCACCCCTGAGTATTATGGTATTTGCTCCAGTGAGCATCTCCAGTGAGTATTTTTTTCAACACGATCGATAAATATAATATATACTGATACTTAGGCCTTAATTATGTAAGACATTACCTTAACTTGTTTCCACCAGTCTATTAAATAACACCTACGCCTGACACAAAGAAAAAAAATACCAAAACCCTACCAAGCAGAACCACTGAACAGATGGTCTATAAAATGTTTTACAAATGTTAAAGTTATAATGCTATAACACAAAGTTCTTAAATAGTCTTTAATTAATGAGGTTTAAAAGGCTTTTAAGAAATTAAGATCATGATGCCTCGTCTTTTATCAGTTACAAGGTACACGTCCTCAAGGAAGCACTTTTTTTCAGAATAAAACTGTACTGCTTTAATCTGAATTTGTTCATTCTCACACCTCAAACAGCAGCAGAAATTAGTATTTAACTTAATTAGGATTAACCAGTCATTCAGTTACTTATTTGTTCTGGAGCTATGAACAATGCAGCAATCTAAGTACTTAAATAATTTATCATAATTAAATTTGGCACTGTATTATTGCTTTGAGGACCAAAAATGAAGACCAGAAATAACTTATAGTAACATTCTTATAATATTTCTCAGTTTTTCCAACAATACATATACTGCTCATAGTGCTTATTCTTCCAAAAAGAATAAGAATTGTCAGGAGAGATCAATTCATGGTTAATATTCAATGAACAGCACAATCACGCCTCAATATTTAACAAAAACTCAAATCCACAAGGGTACTAAATACCAGGACTGAGCCAACCCTTATTGGAGGAGTAACAGGACTGTACCTGCTCACATGTATTTGTATATAGTAGTTGTCTATAGCAGAGTCTGGTAGGCTGTGTCACTCTGCCAAGACTCAGTTACAGTATAGTTGATTGAGGATGTTTTTCTCCTCAAAGTTGCATTTGAGTTCACCTGGCACTAGGTCAGGAGACACAAGACACAAATAAAATACTCACTAGTTCGTGTCCTGCCAGACCCTCCAACAGTTCCAGGAGGCGCCGTCCATCACATAGGTCAGTGAAGAGGTCATTGATTGGAGGCTTCCCAGCCTGCAAGAATAAAGCAATACTGAAGATCAAGTCCACTTCCTACAGTAAACTTTAACTTCCTTTCACTTTATATTGCATAACTATCCAGTTACTTCAAAATACCACCAATATTATTACTACATATTATGCCTCCAAATGCTCAACAATTTCTCATAAACAAAGCCTGAAGCTGCTTAAGTCATAAAACACTTTTAATGAGCACAGTTCAGACATTAGAGAAACATGGATGAAGCCCATTCAACAAAGAATATTCCAACGTTCAACGATGGGCTCAAATGTTGCTCAGGCAAAGTAGGTTCATTATTCCCACTGTTGCTCTGGCAGAAGAACTCTAATGAAGCTTTGATGTAAATGACTGTGCAATTCTGCCTTTTCTTTCATGCACACCTCATTGCAATGAGCTTGGGAATGAAATACAAAACTGAATAAACGCCACAGTTAAAAAGCTTTCATCTCCTGGAATGCACGCCCCTTAGTATTTACGTGTTATATGGCCTTCACTCACAATGTGTAAGAAACATTTTTTTTCTCAGCATTACAGATAATGGCAGAGTATTTGGTCGCCTAGCAACACTGGGTCATTTCCTGATGTGTACGCATGGTGGGAGGGCTGTTGTGGTCACGTTTGCCTCGAGGTCACATTTGCCATGCGGCCACGTTCCCCAGAGTGTTATTTAGATATCATAGAACTAGATCTTAAACAAACTTGGACCACTGGTCAAATCCCTATTGCTATTTTAAGAGCATCCAGAAATATTAGTGACCCAAAGGACTTGATTGTTCTCTGTTTGATTGTTCTCTGTAGGTTACAGTTGCAAAAACTACCAGACAACAATATGTTCCCAGTTACTAATATATGTTGCAGGTCAGTCATCAACAATGTTTATAACCTTATAATTAAAAGTTCACTTCTAAAAGTAACAAAATCTGACAGTAAAAAGGTAGCTATTTTGCATTACAAAATTCATCATTAAATATGCTTAACCTGACCAGCATGCTGTATATGATGTGATCTAGCTTTTATTCTCTGCGTGCTTAACAAGTAAGGTATCTGACCTATATATTCTATATTTTTAATGTTTAATATGATTTGATGGGCCCTGTTTGTTTAATGAGGAGCATAATTTCTTGTTGGAAGAATATATGTCTATTGAGTGCTTGGCGTGGACGGTATATTCCCTATGCTTCATTGAGCACCCAGAGTTTCTTTCTGCATTCCCCTTATTGTTCTGTCAGTGCATGAAGTTGAGTAAATGATGAATGACTGATGGATTATATGGGTTCTTTTTGTGTGTCATGTTGCTGTGAACAATGCCTCTACTCAACCCGGCACTATAGAATCAGTTGAGCAAATGAAGCCCTGAATACTTTTGCTGCCAGACTGATTGCAAGTTGATTTTCCTCCACAGAAGAGTGCTCAGTTTACACATAAACATTATCATTTGCAAATACATTTTTTGTGATTTTTTGCGTTTGCAGCTGCCTTGTGTGACAGCAGTAACCAGTCAAATGCTATGGCCTTGTTTGTTATTCAGTCATTCATTGTTAATAAATACTGCAACATTAAGAGGTTGTAAGAAGTCAGGAGGAGCTGGAACCACACCCAAGACCAGAAGTGCTGTCTGCTGGATTGCCTTTTCACCCAATGGTGCATTTTTAACACTTTGTTTGGCTGTATTTTAAGAAAAAATGCTGTCTTACCATTTTTGTCAGTCAACAACAAAATCTATCACAAGATAAAACAAAAACAACTGGATACCGGATACCAAACAAGATTGTTCTTGAGGTAAATATTCATGCCATCTGTTCAATGACTATCACAAAAAAACATAATTCAACATTTTCACATGCTGAAGGTAAATTAATTGCTCTGAAGTAAAAAAAGTCAATATAAAATAAATTAAGTATATTTAGTCAAATACTCAAAAACGGGACACAAGTCCATCTCTTGTCACATACTCATACTCTGTTTTTCAACCTTGGAGGGGATTCAAATGGGGTCCCCTGAAATGTCTAGTAACTGTCTAGAAATATTTTTTCAACTAATTATTATTCTTTTAAAAATTATGATTAAAACACCACATACAATCTTAACTGTATTCTTTCACATTCATAAATATCAATAAATAAATTAAATATAAATGAGTTCGAATAAAATGATCACAATCACCTTCAGCCTTTTAAAATCAAGCTCGCCTAACTGTACATGTAATCAGGGAAAATAAAATGTGACTTTGTGCACTAATCTGGCTACTCTGTATTTGCAACACGGTATAACAAACACGATCAAAAACTAATTCTAGAAGAAAAAAAATGTCTATTGGGTCGCCAGAAATTTGTGATGTCAAAATGGGGTCACAGGCCAAAGAAGGTTGGAAACCACTGCACTAAGGACAATTCACCTAGCCACATGTTTTTTAACTGAAGGAGGAATGCTGGAGAAAATGAGGACAGGTATGTCAACACTGCCACACCAGTGACCCAAGTCAGAGTGTTGCTTAGGATGCCCATGCCATGACATTACAGGACATACACTTTTACACACATCTCAGTGCTTAGAATAACACCATTGTACAATCAAACCTAATACTGACCAGCTGGACCATCCTAGAACAGTCTACACTACACGTCGAATACCAACATTATACATTATAGCAGCACACTGAGTCATTATTCTTCAAACAGTTTGTGTATTTAATCACATTCAGCAAATATCCTTAAATGTTTCAAAGTCATAAATCAATATTTTTTTCTGGCTTAGCCACCCCCTTCACAAACACACACTGTTGGTACAAATATGCTTCTGTATTTATAATAAAAAGAGAATTATTGGCCAGAGCCATACCCATGGAGACAGAGTGAAAAACACTCTCTTCCCTAAACAGTGGTGTCCGGCCTTTGCTGGCATGTGCATTGACAAAGGCCCATAGGGAGCCCAGGCGTATTGATTTCAAAGGGGAAAACGACTCGCTGACACATTGAGAAATCTCAATCCAAAATAAATGGAGAAAACATGGACGTGGCTCTCAACTGTAAATAAGGGATGTGAGAGTAAAGCCCACTGCGACTTGAGGTGAGGATAGGCCTTCTTCTAACGGTACACAGCCTGTGCCATCAATCAACATGCAGTACATACAATGCACGAGAGCTGTAATGTATTTGATAATGTTAAACTTAGCAGGTAATCAATCATGTTAAAGCTGAAAAATCCCCTTTCCTGGTAGAAATCAGTATGTCTGAAATCATTTCTGCTCATAGTGGGTCTCCAATTCCCTGGTTCACCCTTAATTAAGCCCCAGGAGAAGAGAGTCTGCCTACAATGCTGTGTCACTAATTGAGCTTCTCTCTGCAAAAGTGATTTTTTATTATAGATGAAGAAGGAGAATGGCAGCCAGAGAGAGCAGGAAACGCAGAAAGCAGTCCTCTGTCAACCTGCCTATCCATGTGTGTCTGAGGGCGAATGCATCTAATTGCTCAGCATCAAAAATCTCAGCAATGCAGCAACAAAAAAAAAAAAAACAAAAAAAATGTCCTGGGAGGGAAAACAAAGATAATTTTATGCCATGAATTTGCAGCTGAGAAAAGGAATAAGCTCTTGTCTTATACATAAGGGCTTCGTCTTCTGCAGAAGATAAGAGGTTTGTAAAGAGGGGTGGTAGTGCTAAGTAGGGAATTAGAAGAGAAGGGAGAGGGAGAGAGAGTGGAAGAGTAGAAGAGAAAAGAAAAGGAGACAGCAGAAGTATCTGGCAGACACTAAAGGGGAAGGAGTAACCTGAAGATATCCGCCTTGTCACGCCATCTCACTCCAGTCTGTCTGCTACTCCCATATTGAGATTCGCCAGGAAAAAGGTTTGCATTGCCAACGCATTTGAACAAAACAGCTAAACTATTTTACGTATTTATAAAGCTTGGCTTATACAGTTTTTATACAGTGGTATAAAAATGTAATTCAATAATGTCCAAATCTTCACGGACAGCTTACTCTACGAAGAGCACGTTGAGGGAGGCGTAAAGACAATTTCCCCAAGGGGATCAATAAAGTGTCGATGATTATTATTATTATTATTTTATTTATTTATTTGTTGTGCTTTGCTCATTCTCTGTACCATTTCATGAGGTACTATTTAGACCAGCTCCATGTCAACCTCTGACATTATAAGACTAATTAATATTAATATAAGTAGTACAAGTACAGAGTATGGTTCTCTCTGAACAACGCAATGACTATATTGTGAGCACTCTTATTATCATTGGACATCTGAATACTGCTCACCAAATTGTGGGCGTAAATGAACATCCATACAGTACCTAAAAGCTGGCATCTGGCCAAATGTTTTGCCTCTCATCTGAAACCCTGATGATTGATATCGATATATCGCCCAGCCCTACACCCAGAGGTAAGGAGCGTGCGCTGATTACAGCACGTTGCTGGACTCACCGCCCGACAAACCACCTCAGGGATGAGAACCTAAGTACAGCCGTGCAACAGGTGATACCTCAGCAACACACTAGTCCGAGTGAAACAGTGTACATTTTGGCTGGAGTGCCAGTCCTGCCACCAACCCCCAAATTTTCCCTTTAAGTTGGGGGACCTCCTAGTACGGCTGGATATAGATTAACATCATACGCAGGAAGAAGCGATTGTAGGTTAAGGGCCTTGCTCAGGGCCCAATGGAGTAGGATCACTCCTGCATTCATAGGAGTCGAACCTTCCGATTGTGACCACTGATCCCTAACCTCAGAGACACCACTCCACAGCAAACAGGAAATAGCCAACACTAAAAGTTATAGTTTCGACCTTAGGGACTGAGGGTAATACAATATCTTCAATGACTATGAAGACATCTCTGGTATAATGAATGGGTTTTTAGCCCTTTTCTGCATAATCTATCATAAGCCACACATCCTGTTTGTAAGGCAGACCCAGGATTGTATAGTCTGGTTTTATTGAACAAAACATTCAGAATGTAGGAGTTTCCTCTATAGACACAGCACATGTA